TAAAGGTGGAGAGCGACACAAAAAAAACCCCAAACTTTTTTTTTAAATTCTTTAATTTTTATTATTTAGGGTTTAGGGATGATTTTGATATTTGCAAGCCTAACCTAAATGTCATCAAACTCTAAGAAAAAACAATGACTTCTTGTCTTCATTAAGATATATTAATGGCGTATGGAAGAGTAAATCTTGTACAATAAAACGTCATGGATGAGATCAGCTCTATCCAGCATTACGCAATGGAAAAAAGATCCACATAAATTCTACTGCCACATTTGTGGCATTTAAAAATTGAGATTTCTTTTTTATGTAACATTTAAATTTAATTTATTTATAAAATCATCAGTTTTTTTTTATTTTAATTGTTAAATTTTGATAAAAATTTTAAAATAAAAAATGAAATTTCTGCTCATATTTCTCATTTCCAACAATTTGGATGGTTGAAATAAATATGAACAAATATGTATTGATTCTAACATATACAGCAACAACATCAAATATTTATCGTGTTATGTGGGGTCGGCTACATGAATCTTTTTTCTCTATTGTGTCATGTTAAGAGTCAACTTCTCATTTAAATCTAATAAAAAATGATCATTTCTAATATTTTTTAACCAAGTCTTTTTTAGGTCTACCTCTATATATATTTCTTAACATAAATGTTAAATCTAATACATCTCTCCTAACCAAGTCATCAGAAGGTCGACATTTTATGTTACCAAACCATCTAAGGAGGCTCTCTCTAATCTTATATGCCAATGGAGCTACTCCAAACTTTTCATGTATATAGTTGTTTCGCATTTTGTCGCTGAGAGTGAAGTCACTCACCCTCCTGAGCATTCTCATTTCTGCAACATTTAATTTTATGTTTTTTTTTTGAATGACAAACATTCTACGCCATAAAATATTGTAGATCTCACCAAAATAGAGCTTTCCCTCATTTTTGAATACATTCTAAGCCATAAAATCAATAACAATAAAGAAATTGAATTAAGAAGTAATTTTCACCCACTTATTTTGTTAAAGAGAAATTGAGTAAGAATTATTTTTTTAAAATTTATTTATGATTGATGAAATTTTCAATTTATTTATTTTCTTAATTATTTGATTGCTATTTTCATGATTTAACATTGAAATTAAATTTATGATGTAATTTCTTCATTGTGGTTAATTATGATTTAATTTATGTTAATAATATTAAACTTGGGTAATTAGAGAGTAATAATGATTTACTTAGCAACACTAAAATTTCAAATGAAAACTTTTTATTGAAATAAGTGATATTATTATGGTTAATTAGGATATTATTAAAATTAATTAGGATGAAATGAAGTAAGAGAAGGAAGTGGAGATGAGATGTTGTAGCCAATGAGAGAGAGCAAGAGATAAGAGAAAATTTATAAATAGAACACATCAATATCAGAGATAAAATGGGATCATAAGACTATGGTTTACTGACCAGACAAAAAAAAATTATTTGGCTAGATTTAATCTAAATTTAAATTAAATTTCGGTTAAATCTTACAGTTAAAGTACCTCTTAGTATTAATAATAACTGATGATATTGAAAAAGTAATTGTGAATAAAAGATTAAAGTTTTTTTGGGATAACTTTATCACTGTTTTTTAAAGTAGCTTTTTATAACAAAGACTTCTTGAACTAGCAATTTTTATATTAAAAAATCATTTTATAAAGCAGTAAAAAAGCTGTTCTAAGCAAAGCTTAACGTTGGAGAAAAATAAAAATGAAAATATTTTCATGGTATGTCTTATAAAGTAAAAGACCTCTAAATTTCTCAATGTTAAAAGTCCAAAAAATTATTCTGTGCAGAGATAAGAAGCAGAACGTCGTCTAGAGACCAACCAGAATGTGCCACGTTAGCGGTACCTAGCGATACCGAATAGTACTAGAGCTACCGAGCACAGGATGATATGATGCATTTTGATTGGATTCGGAACAACGTTTGGTATCAGCACGAAATAATTTTTCTAAGTCCTCTAAAGTTCTCTCTCTTCCACTTCTTAAAGAATAAAGACCCAATAGATTCTTAAAGACCCAATAGACTCACTAATTAAATCCTCTTAGAATTAACAAGCTCTAGCCGCCCATCATGGCGTTGGTAGAAACGGTACACACTTTTGGCGTTTTATATGCGTTCTATATTTATATGAAAGCTCCTCATGCAAGCACTTTTGGATAGAATAATATGACCCTACTTTGTGGCTGGAAAATAAATCTGATTAATTCCTTCCTTCTATTAAGTAATGAGTAACATGATATTAGCATGTAAATTCGAATAAAATAGCAAAGCAAAAGGCATAAAACAAATCTTAATAAATTTATTTACTCTAAATGAATAAATAGAAGGTGAAGTATTTACGCAGACCAAATATTTTGTTGTTGATCTAAATTTCAAATATCATGTTTTTAAAGATTACTGTGGGCTCAAAAAATTCACGCCCCAACCTATCCGTGGATCCCTGATGCAAGCAAAAAATTATAGGACGACCCAAACTTTTGCAAGCATAATACAAGATTTCCTAGGAAGTAAGAAAATACTAAAAAATACACCGTTTATAGTATAAAAGAACACTTACAACTTTAAATCGAAAGATACATCATAACTTTGACAACTTGAAATGACACTTACAAACTTATATAATAAAACTTAAACTTGCATTTCATTCGTCGAGAAAAAAGACACAAGTGGCATCGAACTTGCGGAGAGAAGAAAGATGTTAGAAGACGAGACGAAAATAGGACAAGCTCGCAAGCTTTCCCAAGAAGGAAGAAGGAGAACGGAACAAGCTCCCAAGCCTTTCCAAAGAAGGAAGAAAAATCCTCAGGTTTAGTTCCAAAAATCAGCCCACATAACATTTTTTTTATCCACAAAAATATCACATATTTATAGGGGAAAAGGGGAGCCAAACAGCCCAAAAGACCATTAATTAGACCAATTAAAAATAGGGGAAATAGAAGGCCAAGGGGCTGTCCAGGAACAACACCCAAATAGTCACGCAGAAAATCGAAAAAAGGCAACCTAGGGAATCGAAACAGCAGCCAATGGAAACCGGAACAGGCAGTCAAAGGGGGAGAAACGGGCTTCATAGGGAACCGAGACCAGCAGCCCAGGGAATCGGAACAGACAACTAAAGGGGGAAGTAACCATCCACAAGAAGAAGAACCAGGAGGGGAAAACCGAAGGGCCAAGGGAAGAGGAAAGGGAAGCCATAAAAAGGGGAGACAAATGGGAAACCAAAGGGCCATTCGAGAGGGGAAGGAACCTAATTAATCTTCAATTTATGACCTTAAAAGACTCTCTACTAGACATTAATGAGTTGATTTTAGTAGAGGACATATAAGCTCACCAAATTTATAATCCAAAATATTTTGACCTCGATCCCCCCCCCCCTGCATACATCGACGAATGGAGGTTGTGAAATCGACAAATGGAGGTTGTGAAGATCGTGGTGAGCGTGTCGTGCCATGCTCACCACCGGACATCCGGGCTACTAACGCTAGGTGAGGATTTTTTTAATTTAATAATAATAATTCTATTATTATTATTCTTATTAAAATATCAGACTTTGACGTGATGTTTTTTGGCTTGATTTTCATAATTCTTTCTAAATTTGTGCATAATCAGCTTGGAATCCGCACTGATTTCATCGCGTGACTTTTGTTGAGCAAATTTATAGTCATTTTTATGTGACCCAAACATTTCGAACGCAAAGGCAAAGTCTGTTTCATGGTTGGACGTCATTTGGGCAGCGTCATACGTCGTTTTATGTTATCGATTGCCAATTTCGACCGATCTCGTTCGATTGGACTGCAAGGGGTTTCCACTTAGGAGAATTCGATGTTATGATCACAATGGCGTGATCCATTCATCGATTGGATGTCGCTTGACTCTTCAAGTGACGTGCGCGCCGACCGTTCTTTTTGTCGTCGATTTCGCATAATTAGAATGTGGGTCAATAGTTTCGCAAGTTCATTTATTTTATGGCCACTATGACAACATCGATGATGAACTTACACACTCCCAATGCTTCTTTTTTTTTTTTTTTTTTTTTTATGTAGTAAATTTGTAACTAGCATATTTTATTTTTCTAGCTTGTCTTTCCTTTCATAACGTATCAATTTACCATGTTTTTATATGCTTTTCATAATTATCAATGAAAGATCTGGTTTTGGCTTCATTTAAAGATGATGAAGACACACTTTGCCTTCGATAGTCCAATCTGCTTGAATTTTCTTTTTTTAACAGCAGAGCATGAGATGTTCGACTTATAGATTTTGAACACTAACATCTTCAAAATGTCATAAAATTGATGGTTTCATTTTTCACATTCATTTTGAAACGAAAATAAAATTATTAATCTTAGCATAAAACATCTAGAAGGTCAACAAAACTCACTATTTTTCCACTGCGCCAAAAGTCTAGAGAAGGGGAGACTTTAGAAGGGGGTTCAAAATAGCATGGAAACCTTCAATTCAATAGTAGAAAAATATGAATATGTAGTGGAGTTTACTAACAAATTCAACGTCCAATTTTCAACAAAGAAAAGTAATGGTTGTTAAAGAATAACATGTGAACTTTGAATTCAACATTTGAAGAAATTAAAGAAGATTTGATAATCAAAACAATAGATGGTGCGATGAAAACAGAAGGGTGTTTTAAATGGTTAATTAGTGAGTGATGTAATTAGCTTATAGCTAAGAATCTATTATTTGACTTAGATTTCATTTGAGATAGTACTTAAAAACTATTTTAGAATGTAACAAAAAAACTGTCCTAAACAAAATCTTAATAGATTAATTGATGCCTTTGTATCATATAAATACTCCCCCTTAAGAGAACTTAAGTTTATACAAATAGTGAATGAATTTGGTCTCAATCAGGAATGTATCAACAATCATGCGAAAAACTTCAACTGTACAAGAATTATAATCTTTCAACATCTGAAATTATACTAGGTCTGTAACAACATAAAATATCATACTTTCCTGTATTTGTTGTCACACTTTTCATTATATCTTTCATCGCAACAAAAAAAGTTACAACAATAATGGTTGAAAAGATAGTCCCATCTTTTGTTTCAGATTACACGACTTTATTGTTACCTCTATGAAATGAGGTCAAACAAATAAAAATATGAGAACAACAAACAGTGGTACAGTTACATGACACTGAGGGCAAAAATGAAACAGGAATTATTTTCTCACAGTAAAATAGACAGCTCTACTTCTAACGTATTTGCAGCCAGCTAGGAATCCATTTTCTTGTCTTGAGCTTTCAAATAAGTGATTCCTTCAAATTCATAAATTGCTGGGCATCATTCTTCACGCAACCCAGGACTGACTAAGACTTCGTTAGGAACAGTTTAATTATCGCTTCTTAAAGCAGCTCTTTAGAAAATAAATTGAAATTTCTATACTTGAAAGCTGCTTTAAGAAGCAGTAAGAAAGCCGTCCCAAACGAAGTCTAAGAGTCCACTTCTTCGTGCTCCATCAGCATGCGAGATGACTCTTGCCTCTCCAGTGCTTCATCTGATATAGATTTTGTTGAAACTTTCCTCTTCATCACACCCTTTATGTTTGCATAAGGTTTCTTTGATGCATCATTCTTCCCTGGACTGTCAACCTCAATCTTTCCATGATTGCCCTGTTGTCCATCTACTTTCAGATCTCCAGACTCAGTAATAATACTTTCATCAAGTATGATCCTGACTGCTGTTCCCTGCACCTCAACTGATCTGATGTTGGGAGATGGAATAGGACTAACCTCCTCCTTTGCTTCTCTAGAGTTTTGCATCTTTGGGGTCCTCTGAAAATAAGAACCAAGTTTTTGGAGCCCCCTCCCTATTGTTCCATGGCGACTAATTTTCTTCACATCCACATTTTCATCACTGCCAGATGTTTCTGAGATCAAGCTTTCAATGCCTTCACTGCCCTCGGCCTGCAGTTCGGTTTCAGCTACACGGCGCGATCGTCCTTTCCTAGGCTCCCATGTTTGACAGACATCTTTCCCGGGGCGATGTACCCATAAACCAGTTTTTTCTTGCCCTTCGATATTAATGGGCTCGAATTCATCTGCCATTTGTTGATGTTCTTCTAAAGATGGATCAGTCTCATTGTTTTGCACATTTGAATTTGGTTTAGGTGTAGTGGGCTCATTCAGTTTTGATAATTCCTGATCAAATCATGAGATGTGCTTAAAGACAATCCTTCAGACTATGAAATATATTAAAGAAGGTATCTCTACTGCCTAACAAACTATTGCAACCACGTACCGTCTCATCTTCATATACAGTGATAGCCAAATGTAGTCTTCCCTTCTTTATGTTCTTCAAAGTTAGCCATTTATCATGTCTCTGGCCACCCCTTAGGTCGCTGATGTTTACTGAACACTCTCTGCATGGTAAATAAACTACTGGTTTATATTTGTGATAAAAAAATGTGGATAGACAAAGAGAACGAGAAGAGGGAATTTAATCGTAGAAATAAAATTAGGCTTTATTTGGGACGGCTTTCTTATTGCTTTTTAAAGTAGTTTTTAGAACAAAAATTTTAACTTTTATACTAAAAAGCTGCTTTAAGAAGTAGTAAGAAAGCCGTCCCAAACGAAACCTTAATAGTAAAAGAAAGAAAGATAGAAGGTAAAATGAAGCTGAAAAGTTTCAGAAGCTAAACAAGCCAACGCTACAGAAAGCAACATAGGTTTATTTGACAATGGTGTGCTGCAAAGTAGAGTTGCAGCCCAGCAAAACAATTTTTCTCGACCTTGATGCGCTTATTTAGTGTTAACCAATCAAGGTGAAGAACTATATAAATGACATTAAGCATTATAAAAGCATTATAACAGAAAATCCTGCAGCTGTGCTTTCTATATGTTAATCTCTCGTCATCAGGTGAAGCCATAACTCCTTGAAGAAATCAGCTAAATAATAAAAAAATACACATTTAAGATGAACGTTTGGATCAAGAATCATAGTTGAGCAGCAGAATACTAAGCTTCCACGCTACTTAACATGTAAATAATAGAAATTCATCCATGTAACTAGTCACTAAGACTTCGTTTGGGACGGCTTTCTTACTGCTCTTAAAGCAGCTTTTTAGTATAAAATTTTTAATTTTCGTACTAAAAAGCTGTTTTAAGAAGCAATAAAAAAAACAGTCCCAAATAAAGCATAAAGCTTAGGAAAAGAAAGAGGGACCAGCTATTGTTATCAATGTGTAAGATCTTAATCATGTAACTAGAAAAGCATGAAGACTCGACTTAAAAGTTAAAAGTGCCTCCAAGATGATTTAATTAAGGAATGGAAGTGTACCCGAGCAAGTCATCGAAGATGTGGTCCTTATCACGAACTTCAAGAGACAATATATTTGGTACTTCCCATGATGAAATTGGGATCTTGAACTCCTCAAACCACTTTGGATATAGGGTCTTCTTGTGAATCTTTGTTCGGATTCTAAAATTACCAAGATGGGCTTTCACATAAGGATCAGCAAGTCCTGCAGATTAAAAACTTTACTTTCGTTAATCTGGTTTTCAAACATAGTTAATGACAATGGTCATCTATGGGTTACTTTGATAAAATAAATAAGGGATACGAATTACCATTTAAATCTGAAGGTTTCATATCAGCTGCCTCTATAATCTCCAATTTCACATATGCTATAGGAGGTTTTTCGTAGACTGAAAACCACGATTCTGGAATAGGTAGAACATAAGAAGTTCTGAGGAAAATTTTCAACTTAAAAAAAAACACTTAAATTATAACTACAAAGAAAAATGCAATGAGGATGCTAGAGAACTACAAGCGATATTGTTAAGAAGCCATAACACATTCAATGAAACTAGATTTGAAATTTGGTTTATCATAGAATTCAAACATAATGGAGTTCAACAACAAAGTTTCTGATAAGCTTCTTAGAAGCATTTCGTCTTAGTTTGGGACGGTTTTTTTACTACTTCTTAAAGCAAATTTATAGTACAAAATTTTAAATTTTTTAATTAGAAAGCAGCTTTAAGAAGCAATAAAAAAACTGTCCCAAACGAAGCCTTCATCTGATGTCAGAACGCATTTATCGAAACTAGATATGAATTTTGGTTGATCGTAGCATTCAAACGTATTGGTGTTCAGCAACAAAATTTGATTGTAATCATTTCGCCTATACTTGTCGTTATGTTTGTGTTTTTGAGACGTTCAATTCGACTGTAAGTTTACTGAAATCGGAGTTCATATGGTCTCCGAATTAATTTTTGAAGTTACCAACTAAATTTTGTATTGAGATTAAAAAAAAAATTTCAATTTTTTTAGGGTGGGCACGTGCCCCCCCTCCCCCCTCCCTCCGCCCATGATCCCAAAAAAATGAAAACTTTCTGGGAATTGTTGGCTAAATATATCAAAGTTGGGCCTAATACTACAAGTCTACATCTTCAAAATCGCTCAGAAGCTAAGTCTATAGGTAAAGGGCAAACACCGAATGTATACTTTAACAATCCAATGTGAGACTGAACTTTATTCTCATATATCTTCATAAATGTCTCACTCAAATGAGCCCTCCGCATTCATGCTAGAAAACTTTTACCATCATCGAGTATCTTGCATCAAAAGCTCACACAACCAGATGGGGCTATAATGAAAATTACCCCATCTTGAACCTTGCTAACCATGATAGAAGCCATTAATATCCATCGGAACCACAAATTTCATTCAACCGCTCAATCTAATTCAAACTAGCAGCTTTCATACCACTTGTTATAGAGTTTATAGATTAAAGATGATTATAGTTGTCTGATCCAAAAATTGTAATACACTATTCAACCCAAAAATTTGACCATAGAAATGAGAGTTGATCACTTAATTCATATTTCTTAATATAACAAAAGTGGAACCAAGACTGATACAGGCATATAAGCACTTCTTTAGTTCCTTTAACTTGGTCACTTCTTTCTCTTCCTCGTCTTTCATTTTCTATTGCTCGCTTTCCAAATTTACTTTGTCCACTCAGACAAAGCAAATAAAACCCTTATATCAAGAAATGTGACAGCAGAATGTAACATCAGTAGCTAAAGTTCAATGGATCCTACAAATTTGAGCAAATTAAGGCTTTGTTTGGGAAGGGTTTCTTACTAGTTCTTAAAGCAGCTTTTTAGTAAAAAATTAAAAATTTTATACTAAAAAGCTTCTTTAAGAAGCAGTAAGAATGCCGTCCCAAACGAAGCTTAAGTCAAATCCATGGAAACAATACAAGGAGCTACTAAAATTTTAAAGAAATGCCGCAGGATCTCATTTTGATGGTCGATGTATTCATAGGAAGAGACATGGAATGTGTCATTATTCCATCAATAAGTTATAGACAGTGCAAAGCCCACAGCATTAACTTACTTTCGATACCTAAAACTAACAAAGACTACAAGAAAGCTTGTTATTCGTAAAAGGTAAAACAAGAAGTGGAAAAGGCTGGTGCAGATAAAAAAAGAAGTATATGAAATACCAATTAAGTTATAAAAAGAAACTGAATCATCCAACAAACCAAATAACACAATGGGAATAAAACATATAACAAAATGTTATGATATATGGTATGAATCAAATCATGTTCTTCTTCCCTATACAAAAGAAATAAAGGTTGCAAATGATTATGCCTCAAGTTACGAAACTATCAATACAACAACAAGTCTTTGTCCCACTACGTTGGGTTGGCTACATGAGTCTTTTTTCGCCATTGTGTGCGGTTAAAAGTCAAATTTTCATTTAAATCTAATAAAGAAAGATTACTTCTAACATTTTCTAACCAAGTCATTTTAGATCTACCTCAAAGTTACGGAACTATCAATGCCATGAAATATTCAATAACTTATTTAATGCATACCTGATGGTGTTGAAACAAATTTTTCCACATCAATGACAAGCATATTAGGCTGCCAAAAAAAGGGAGCTTTACTTTTAGAAAGTAGAAAAGCGAGAAATACCAAGAGATATTTGAAGAGACACTGACAAACTTCAATAGACCAATTTATTACTCAATCCACAAACTTGAATTGAAAATTAAAAAAGCTGTTCATATAGTAGCTGACATGGACAAACCTGGACTAATGTCTGCTCAAATGCAACAGCAAGTAGATTATCCTGCAAAGGATAAACGCTTTAAAACAAAAAATTAATAGATGATTCTAGAAAAAGGATAAGAAAAATACTTCAAAGCTCACCAGCCATCCTGCAATTCCTGGAAGCTCGGTGACATCAATACCATGAGTGAAGATTGGTTTTACAGTCATCTGAAAGTAAGGCACCTCCGCAAAGCACACCCGCATTCGTTCGATAAATGGCCATTGTCGGAGGAATTTCACTCCAACTAACACCTACATTAAGATTGTGAGAGAAATGTAGAACAACAGAAATTAATATTAACAATTAAATTTTAATGAGTTTCATAGGTAAAGGCAAAACATGTCAAAGTTATGTTGTTTCTTCTGATCTCCAGTCCAGTTCATACACAAGAGAACATCAAATGACAGTTTGAATTGAAGATCAAAGAGCAGTTAACTTCTCCTATATGTATTTCTTTTACTGTTACTCACATGCAGCGCAGAACCTTTATTCGCATAAGTTTGAGGACGCTCTCGATGTAGTCCAACATAGTTTCACGTCTCATAAAATTTTGTAGATGCCATTCTCATCATCATTATACATATCCCAACTATTTGGATTGGCTTTAAAAATCCTAATTTTTCATTCATTTATCCTAACGGCCTTATTGGGTGTTAAGCCTAGTCAGCAAAAATCATCTTGCTCAGATTCTATCCATGCTAAATTTAGCTACCATTTTTTTCTTGCTAAGCCTTAAGCATTTTCTAACCTCGTTATGTCCAACTTACCAAAGACAATTTTAATTACATTATTTTTAATGGGTACAACCTTCATTAGAAAATTTTTTAAGCAACTCTTATTAATTTTTTCACACATTTATCTTACCGTTTTCATTTTCATCATGCTCAACTCAGCTATTTATAACATTTTTAGAACCTAAGAATCATATTCATATTATATAGTAAACCTAAATATAATTTTATAAAATTTAAAGATGCATCTACATGATAATCACCCAACTTTAAAAGATATCTCCTCATTTTCATTGGTAAGAGGGTTTATTTTTTTATTGATGAATCAGAAAAGCACTAGTTGGAACCATCACTAAAAGGAACTACACTGCTGTTCTCTCTCCTAATCTCTTAATGAACAAGTAAACAAATTTAGAAAGGTTTACTGTTATAATAATCTCCTCTATTGAAATCACCCAAGTTTTACTCTAGAAGTTATCAACTCATCCCTATTGGTTAGAGGGCATTATTCTCCTTTTGATAATCCAGGCACTAGTTTAAAGTAACACTAAAAGGCACTACACGATTGGTCCTCTCTCCCAATTTCTCAATGAGCATGCAAATGTTATTTATTTACCTTACTGATCAAGAGGTATGAAGATGGGGAAGGTGCTTGTGGCTATTCATTCTTTTGTGTAATAAATCTAAAGTACTTACAAATTGAGTACCATTTTATCTTCTAGTACTATTGGCTAATAATTGTTAATATACCCAATAAATTTATATTTCATGTTATCTTCTAATTTCTCCATTGTTCTTAATTTCTAATTATTTCAACTGGTTTTATCATCAGAATTATATCATAGCAAATACACACAAATGCACCCATCCTAAATATCCTTTATAAACAACCTCATAATAAATACAAAAAGATAATGACTTAATAATGATACTTGATGCAATCATATTATAAATAAAAAAATTGATACAACTGCTCAATAACTTATAATACAAATCAATGCTCAAGCAAAAGAATTTCAACATATTTTGAGACACACCTTAATTCAATGCCAATAAGTATTTCTAAACCTTTTTGTGTCTATTATTGTATTAAATTTAAACCTTTTGTTAAAATCCTTTTTCTTGTTTTTAACTATCATAGTTGTTTGTTGTAACTTAGGGAAAATTCACCCAAAACAAGGTATTATCTAACCCAATAAATTTAAAAAATAAGGCCCTTGGCAATATTAAGAATATACCAGATGTACTGTCAATAAAAACAAGTCTTAGCATGTTTCTTACCTTTCCTTCGACATGCATACCTGCCACATGCATGTTTGTCCACATTCCTAGCCCTAAAGTTTTCCTTAGCTGCACAGCAAGCACTGCATTCATATCCTTCGCAGATAGAAAACTCATTCCCAACTCTAGAACCTACAAAAGTTCAAAGTTATCACGTAGGAATGGTACAGAATATAATAGAATTAAACGGCACAATCAATGCAAGTATATAACACAAACCAAGTGGTCATCATCAGATGATTGACCAAGAACTCTTATCTCGGTAAACATAGGCGGGTTCCTTCCCAAGTAAAGGTTCTCAACAACTGCTTTACTCTGCAGCAGAAGAAGTGCATAGTAAAGTTAGAAGAGAGTAAATAAGGTACATAACACTAAGGCTTCGTTTGATTAGGTTTAATTTCTCCATTTTCTGTTTCAAGAAGCCGAAATCAGTTACTTTTAAATGTTTGGAAGAACAACTTTTATATAATTCCTTTTCACGTAACTCCATTTTTTTGTCGGTTATAAAAGTTATTTGATTTCTGCTTATTCTATTTCAAACTCAGTTTCTAAAAATAAGCACTTAAAAAAATGTTACTCAAACAACATTTCAGTATTGAAACTATGTTTTAGTTAACTCCTTTTTCTCAACATCTGTTTCTAGAACTTCATTTTAAATAAGCAACAACCCAAACAAACAAAGCCTAAGTGTTTCAAGTAGCTCGAATAAGTCATTCAAGTAGCTCGAATCAACTGTGAAAATATAAATGATTAAAAGGTTTTGGTTCTGCAGGGTTTGCAATTTTAACTAGAACATGTAACAAATCTCCCAACAATCATGCATTTGGCTCTGTATTAGTTTATGTATTTCTAAGCTTAGCGAGAGAAACCACAAGAGAAGTTCTTATTTCATGACACTACAACTGTTGCAATTAACTAAGATCACCAGCCTTCAACGCCAAACCGGTCCTTGAAAGGCTAAGATCATAATGGCAATTCACTGAAGAAATGTGTACCGTTATGACAAAATTAAAAATTGTGTTATTGAAATTTGTTTTTTAAGCATCAATGCTATCACTATCAATTAAGAAAATACATGTCTTCATATTTATAATAGACCAGTCTCTAGAATAACAATAATAATAATAATAATAAGCGCCACATTAGATAAGAAAAATAAGAGTGCTTAAAAAATATAGATTGCTTCTGTAGAGAAGACATACAGCTGTCCAAGGCTTGTACTTGTCCAAGAACCAAGGTATGATTGGCAAGAGGAATTGCTGAGATGCAATCTGTTCCAAGCAGATAGGCCAGATTTTTTCAACTGCGTGGTTTAACCACCTTACAGATTCAGAATCAGAAAGGAGCTGTGAGATAAAAATAAACATAAGATAAGACGGCTCAAATTGGACATAAACATCTGATCGGTAAGATGAAAAATAAATACATGATGACTATATATGCATTATATTTAGTAATATTATATGAAATAAAATTAGGCGTACCCTCCTTTGGTTGGCGTACTTTCGTTCTTCATACTGCAATTTCCTCCTCAATCTTACAGTATATTGTTGATTTACCTAGAAAAATGAAAAGTTGATAGATTGCATAACTAATTTAATTTGAATTTGGAAAAACCTTCAAATATAATTGAAACTATCATCATAGATAAATCCAATAAGGAATTTGCTAATAATGAAGAAAGAGGGGTAATAAAAAAAAATAATCCTGAATTTGATGTGTGGAAAATTTTCAAATTAGTAGGAATTTTTCTAGGTCAAATATGATTTTATGCAAAAAAATTAATGTGATAAAGACAGCCCAAAATAAATGAAGGCTGGCTGATTGGGATGATAGACATCAGATGTGAACTACTAACATCTGCCATAGTTGGCAGGCATCAAGTAATGGTCGATGAGGAACATCCAAAGTTGGGAGACAATGGGTGATTGACTTCATTCTTTTGATAGGAGGGAGACCATGTTTGATAGGAGGAAGACCAGGTCTGATAGGAGGGAGAGCAAGCAATCAGAAAGATAGACATCAAACATTGATGACAGATCATATTAAATTTCGGTTGTTCATTGGCATCAGGCAACGGTAGGAATATCATAAGTGGGGCAATAGTTGATGGTTGGCTTGATAGATCTCCTAACAAGAGTGGGATCAAGCAACCAGGAAGACATGTCACACATCACAAGCGAATAAACATTAGACATATATTGGTGGCAAAAATTGAGCTATGGTTAATAAGTAACTTATGAAGTCGAGCGAGAATGGGTAATCAACTCTATTTAGGAAAGCATAGAGCATGATTGACTAGGAAATTGGAAGTTAGATGATGATAGACAGTCGGCATGGTCTTTATCATAACATAAGAGGAGTTCATAAAGATATGCATGCATGGCAAATGTCAGATGTTAGTCATTAATAGACATTGGTTGGCAATTGATAACTATTAGAAGTTAAGCGGCGATTGATATTCAGCTCAGTGACGTCAGGAAATGATTAACGGTGAATATCGAACGTCGGGCAATAATTGATAGTCCACTCAATCATCCTCCTAATAGTAAATGACACCGAAATTTTTGGAAGATGGTCTCCAAACATCTATAGCTAAGATATTCGATGTTTTCTTGTGCATTCATTAGGTTACATTCAATAAGAAACATCATAATTATGGCAACGATAATTGGTCAACTTGATCATTATCCAATTAAAAGAGGAATATATGACTAGAAAGATTAGTCGAACATCGGTGGTTGATAGATGTAGAAAATTAGCAAATATGAAGTGACAGTGGTTGATGGATATTGGTGAGCCATCAACTATGTGGTTCTTATTATCAAAGAGGAGGACCAAACGATTGAAAAGATAAGCGTTGAACATTGGTGGTTGATGGATATTAGATGCAAATCATTGACAAGCATTTAACGACAATCAATGAATAAGTTTGGAAGTCAACCAATGATTGGTGGTTAGCTTAATTATTCACCTATTAGGAGGGGAGATTGGCGATTAAGAAGATGGGCATTGGACATAAGTAGCTAATGAATAATGGACATTTATCATTAGTATGCATCGGGTAATGGACCATGGGGAATGTGAAAACTTTGGGTATGTTGGGCATTTGGTTCAATCACTGGAAAGTTTAGGGCTACGATCAACGAGGAATGGAGATCATACAACAATTAGTGGTTATTTTTGTTATTCTCTTGAGAAGTGAGGCGATTGGGCCACTGGAAAGACAAATGTCGACATTGATATCACAAAGACACATGACAATAGTTAGTGGAAACTATTGCATGACAATTAATGGAGAACATCATAAGTTGGGCAATGATGGATAGTCGACTTAGATTTTTAAGAGAAAGCAACTGAGAAGAAAAGCGTCAAATGTTGACGGCTAACAGAGTTTAGATTATTGACAAGTGTCAAGTGATCTTGTGGATAAACTTGATACGAAGGTAATCTAGATGATCCGAAGGTAAATGTTAGATATTGATAGCTGATGAATATTATATGTTAGACTTTAACAAGTGTCGAATGATAGTAGATAGAATAACGAAAGTCAAACAATTATTTTCATTTGACTTGTTATTCTCTAAATGATTAGGAGATTGAGAAGACGGGTGCCAAACATTGAACATTAGTCATTGGCCATCTTCTAGGGAAATTAATTGGGAATGTAAGAAGCTGAGTGACAATGGGTAAAGTCAATCTTTGACAGGTGCAAAGTGATTGTCAATAAAAAATTTGGAAGTCCATCGATGGTTGATGATTGATGTGTTTGTTCTCCTAAAAGAATTGAAGATAGGACAACTTACAAGATTGAACATCATACATAAGTGGTTGATGGACATTGAATGTCAGTTATTGGTGGTCATTAGGTGACATTCGATGGTAAATGCCGGGAGTGAAACAATGGTGAAAGATCAATTTGATTATTTACATGATAGGAGATGAGACAAGCCATAAGGAAGACAAACATTAGAAATCAATGATTGAAGGACGTCAAAATTTGTCATACGTTAAACTAAAGTTGTGGGAACATGTTTAAATTTGAGTGAATGTGAGCGGTTAGTTTAATCATTCTCTTGATAGGAGAGGTGATCAAGATGCCAATAGCTAATAAACATCTCAAATTAATAGGGGCAATTTTCAGAAAATGACTAATGGAGAATTTGGAAAGTTAGGTAACAATTAGATGTAGGCTTGGTCATCTTTTTTCGGGAAGGGAGATTATATGACCTAAAATAGGAGTGTAAAATACTTAATTGATGATGGATTCTTGCACTAAAAAGATAATTTTATCATCATGTTGAGTTTTCATACATTATATCTCATAATCACGTAAAAAGGATGACATTAGATCACCCTTATTTGAGAAAAATTTCTACCATGGCAAAAAATCATCTGCAAATCCAATTCCAACTCAAAATAAGTTTTAAAGAAATTATAGAGTCAAATTTACATGGATGAGAGTAAAATTAAAACACACCTATCAAATAATCTTGCAAGGTGTAAAAAATTACAACTAGCAATAATCGAGCACCGCTATCTTCGAAGAAAAATCTAAAAGTTATCAACAAACAACTTACAAGAATTCAAAAGAAGCTTTCATAATGTAGTAATAGATGTGTATGTGATAATAAACTTTATTTCTATTGATGCTTAGAAAATGGAGTATTTCACATCTCTAAATTATTATCTTATATAGACTTCACAAAGTATGAAATGATTAATTCTAAAAGCTGAGAAATGCAATCATTTTAAGAAATTTTACCAGTGTAAATGGCTAGCACGAGATGCTAATCAAGGCTTGTAATGCAATGTTTCATGCATGTTCTAAGGAAAAGTATACAATAACTAATTGCCCATTTCATTAAGATAATCTTCATTATCTTATGAGATATATATCGTGCGAATTTTCAAACAATACACGGTTTGGGAAGAGTTTGATGTACGCGGACTTACCCTTACATTACCAAGTGACGGTTTCCGTGACTTGGATTCATGATCTTCAAGGCACAATGGAGACAACTAATTATTTCAGCCAGAGGACCCTGTTTGGGTGGGATCTCTACAAGAGGAATTGTAGAACTAGCTGGTAATTAGGATATAATATGATGAGGTGCTAAGGTCTGGTGCAAATATAAACAAAGAATGCATTAGGCGGCAGTGAAGAAATTTGGGTGTGGCTTGGGATTGTTGGGTTTGCATTGTTATGTAGGCCATTATACGTAGATGTTTTTCTATGCTATTGATTTGTACTTGGTATGCTTGTTTGGGAGGCCATATATTATGACCCCTTGTTCTTGTAAATTGTGGGTGCAAAAAAGGTTGTGACTTTATCCTATAACCGTTGGATGCTTTCTTTTGTTTGTTCATAAAAACTTATATACAAGACATACCTCAACCATCTTAACCTTAGTCAAGCATTAAGAGTTTTTTTTTTATACACAAGAAGATTATAATGTTGACTGGTTACTAACGTACCAGTAGTGATAGCTTGAAGCACAACAAAGATAATTTATTCTCTATTTGATTTCTGAAACAGAACACTAAAGATCAGAATAAATGAACTAATATTAATTAACAAAGTTTGAAAAACATAGTAGCTCCAGGTTTCGCCGTAGTTAGTGATAGGTTAAGTCACTACATAACTACAACATCTACGCCAAATGAACATTCACCATTCAAAACGATCAGTAGATCCTAAAGGCCGCAGACACCAACACAGCTAATAATATTCCGTTCAAATTAGATACAGTAAAGATTTAAAAAAAATCAAAGATATCCCACCTCCAGAAACTAATGAAGCTAAAAGAAAGGAAGAAAAGGTTCCATGCACTAAAAACAGGATAAACTTGAGCAATTATAAACAACTCAATTTAGAAGGAAAATCCATTAATCTACCGTTGCAGCCTCCCAAATGGGCCCAAAAAAGCTCAGCGCATCAACCCTAGTAACGAATTCACAAACTGCCAAACTCAAAACTCTCTCACAAACAACTTCTCTAGAAATAGAATAAATTTCACTAGATCCCATGACATACTCACAAAACGAGAATAAAAAAACACAAGATTACAACTTTAAGTCTTTAACCAGAAGAGTTGCATAAGAAGCCAAAGAACAAACTCACATAGAATCGCACAATTCCTGAATCACAAAAACTGGTTTTCAGTACTTACCGCAAAGAGATAGAGCAAAGCCCCGAAGTAAAGCACAGTATGCGACCACCCTATCGATGCTAAGAACCAGAGCACCATAAGCACTATGCCGATGTGATGAACAATCGAAACCTCCGTTATATCCATCACAATATAGCAAAAAGATAACACTTGAAGCACCCCGCGATGCCTCCCCAATCTCAAATATCGCGCAAGGGAAGAAGAAAGTGGAACGAATCAACAAGGAAACTGAAGTGTATCTAGAGGAGTTAATGGATCTCGGAGAAAGCCGAAACGGTAGATTTCGAAAGAAGAAATAGGAGATTCGAAGGATCGAGCGGTTACTACTTATTTAGGGAATCGGAGAATTTCGAGGGGTCGTCGCCGTCACGGGACGCTGTGGCGGTTGACGAAACGGAAAGCGGCTGCCGGGTTTTTGTCGACGAAGGTATGGCGGGTTCGGATGCATCCAAGCCAGAAAGATCTGATGACGTGGCGATGGACGTGGCGACGTGTCAATAAATATTTTTAGATTCATTAAGGCTTTGTTTAGAACAAAATTTTGGCTGTTTTGTGATAGGAAGATCAATTAATAAAAAATAATGTGTCTTCAGAAGAAAGCCATTTCACTACTATTTTAGAATTTTCCCTTTAAAATGTTGTTCATGGAAAATCATTTTCAAACTATTGCTTAGAATGTTGTAAAGGATTTATTGAGGCAAAGGCTTCATTTAAGATAGCTTTCTTATTAATTTGTAAAGTTGTAGAGAGAAAATAATTTATATTTGTTTGGCGAAAATTTTTTTCTCCTAGTGTAATTTTTTTTTTTTTTTTTTTTTACTTTACGGTTAGGGGATTCCAAAGGAGAATTTTCTTCCTTCGATCATTTGACCGTAGACCTGATCTCATATGTGACTTTTAATATGTATTTAAATTAAAATTTTTGAAATTAAATTCATGAGTAATTGAATGTTAGTTTCTATAAATTTATAATTGAATTGAATATCTCAAAGAGATAAATTTGATGGCATTAGAAGTTATCTAATTAGAGTCTGAATGAACTCAAATCAAACACTGAAAAAATAGTAGTAAACTTCAACATATTATGATTTTTAAATTTCTCATGCTTATAATCAAATTAGGTGTCACACGAGATAAATCCAACGAGCTCAAAATAGTATGATTCTAATGTCATTGAGGCACTTATATGCTAAAAGTACAATCATGATTGAGGTATTAATATAGTTGTCCGATAAAAAAATAAAAATTAAAATATATATAGGTTGTCCGATGAAATTTTCCGAATTTCATTATATTAATGGGACATGCCCCTTTCAAAAATCTATAAATAGACATTTACTCTTGATATGAAAAGGGCTTGAACACTAGGCTTGAGAAGTGAGAAAGCTTAAAAGCTTGAACAATCTCGACGCTCCATCTAAGCACCATAGTTGGATTACCACTCATTCGGTGTTGTTAGACCATCGCATGATAGTCGTTGCCAGACCACTACTTGATTAATATTATGAGACACCATCTCTTAATAACAATCCTCCAACCAACATCATCTAACTACAGTCCACAGACCACTATCATCCCATTACAATCATTTGATCAATGTTGCGTAACTTTAGTTCTCTGACTAACGTCATCCAACTACAGTCTGACAACTATTGTCCGACTACGTTCTTCCCACCATATCCCCATACTATAGTCATTTGATCACTGCCACCCGACTACAATACTCTAACCACTATCAGATCCTCAATCACAATTGCTTAGATATTATCATTTAATTTTCGTTGCTCAACTATGATCATTTGACCACAATCACCTGACTATGATCATCTAACTACCATCACCAGGCTATAATCCTTTAAATATAGTCGTTGGACCAGCATAACATTATTATCTTCCTTCGACCAGTATCGTTTAACTTCGGACCACTATCTCCCAATTTTGATTCTCTAACGACAATCACTCGACTATCGTCATTTGACCTCTACCATATGACGGTAGTCCTTTGATCACCATCGCCCAAATATGACCACTCCAATTACCACCACTTGACATTGATCCTTTAACCAATGTCACCAAATAATGATCCTCTGATCACATCGTTGGACTATAGCCCTTTGACCACCATTGCTCAACTATGATTCCATGACCACTATTGTACAAATTTGATTATCTAACCACAGTTTCCCTACAAATTCGTTCAACCACCAATTCCTAACTACAATTAACCAATCACTATTGCTCAAGCACAATCCCTTAACTATAATGGTCCAAGATTTAAAGAAGGAATTTAAACCTACTTTTCATATACATTTATTAATTGTTATCTCAATTTCTCATTAACCAAGGCAAACTAATCATTCAAAATAATATAAAACAATTATCCAGAATACTCATATAGAATATTTCTTCCAAAATACTTAAATAAAAATAGTTCAAATTTTAATGATTGCATCAAAAGTCTTAAATAATATTTTGCCGACAGGATCTCTCAAATCATGTTGGAATGTGTTTGTGGTCGAGAATACAAACATGAGGTTAAAGATGATATCAGAGCTGTTGATTTTGATCAATGACTCTGATTAGATCCCGCAGCTAGCCGTGGAGCGAATTAAATCCCAGTCGTGCGATACCGGATCGAATAACTGTGGTTAATCCCGTGTTTTACTATTAGTCGTAATCATTAGCCAACAAACACATAGCGTTGCATGTTAAAGTGTGGTTGACTGTGTAATTGGTTAATTAAAAATTCATAAAAACTTCATAACTTAAAAAAACCATATCTCCTCACACACTTATTCAATCAGGGTGTTCTTAGGCTCATTGGCAAGGTCTAGAGGAAAACTACAAAAGTCCTATAGTTTTAAGCTCTAATTCTTTCAAACATTAATGCTATTTTAGGCTTATTCCTAGGGAGTTTTATAATAATGGTCTCAAATTAATTCACTAGAGGTTGAGACTTTGGGAAAATTATTTTGGGCATATTATTGACATGTACAAAATTAATCACCTTTATTTATTTTGATTAAGAGCTTCGTTTGGTTAATTTAGCCCTATAGGTCAATAATCA